GGCTTTCTTATAAAGTGAAAATGAAAGTGTTAGTCACTCAGTCCTGTTGGAATCTTTGCAACCCCACGGACTGTAGCCTACCAGGTTCCTTTGTCCATGGAATTCTCCAGGTAAGAATACTGGAATGGGTAGCCATTTCCTTCTCCAGGGGATCTTCCTGACCCAGGGATTGAACCCGGGTTTCCCATGTTGCAGGCAGATTCTTTCCCGTCTGAGCCACCAGGGAAGCCTAGCTTTCTTATAGAATTGTTGTAAATATTGAACAAGATAATGCATATAGGATTTGGTAGCTGGCAGATCAAAATGCCTTCAAATGCACTGTCTTCTCATCACACTTTTATAGACGCTTAATTTATAGATAAGAAAAGCATGACTTAAATATTATTAAAATATTTTCTGAGGCCAAGTGACTTATAATCATGGAAATCTATCTCCAGAGCCTGTCAACCACCAGTTTTTTCAAGAAGAAAGCTAACAAATGTCCATGAAATCAGTGAATGATTTCAGGCATTCTTTACCTTATGTGCAAATTGAAAGCAAATATGTTTAGCTATAGATTTTCTTAAAAAAATTAAATTGTTGATTTTGCTAGATTGCATGAGCCTCTTTAAGTAAAGTCAAAAGGTGCTTTGTATAAGCCTAAGAAAGATCCCAGCCCATAGTAGGTGCTCAATCAATGATGCTGAAAGAACAAGTGACAGATTGAACCTGACATTTGTGACAAGAAGAACAGAGAGCTTTCAGCCAAATAACTGTTTTCCTGTTAGTATAAACCTCTGACAACCTCGTCTCCCCGCAGCTCCTGCAGCATGAGACCCACCAGTCATGCAAGATGCAGGAGTTTCAATGGGTCACTGGTTAGAGATGAGGTTGTTTCTGTGGCACCTCAGGCCTCCTAAGGCTGCCTCCTGATGTGGGCACTTGCATGGCAGTGGCAGGATGTGCTGCCAGCAAAATCACCCAGTGCTTTCAAGTGGAGTCGAAGGCTAGCTACCTAGCTGATGCTTCAGTGAGAAGGGGGAAATGAGATGTCACAAGGCCAGTTCTGTAAATTAAGTGATAATCCAGTTCTGTCTGTATTCAAAGAGCAATCATCTATCCTAGGTTAATTCTGGGGACCCTTTCCAACATCTCCAGGCTTCCTTGCATGCTTGTGCTGACTTGGGGGCATTTCACCCTTCATTGCATGCTCTTTATCCTAGCAAATGGTGAGTAGGAAAGGAGATAGGAGTCATCAAGTGAAATGGAGTTCCTGCTTTATCTTGAACTGAATCGATTCCTGTCTTCCCGCTGACAACATTCATCAAAGGTTAGTATCCTGGAGACAAATAAACACCATGGAAATAACTCCTTTTTTCTCCTAAAGAAATACGAAGATGGCAGCACTGGGTGCAACTTGGCTTTAACCCAACTGGAGGGAGGGGTCTATGTTGAAAGGACGACCTTTGACACGGAGGCTTTCTGCTTCGGTACCTTGTGAAACAAATAGTTTCCTGAAAACAACCATCTACTGCCCAACCTCCCACTAATGCGATTAGGGAGCTAATTTCCTGGGTTGGTTTCCCCCCCATTTCACCCATCAGAGCTGGGCGGCTACAAAGGCCCTCTCTCCTGGAAATTACTTCTTCACCAACACATGCAAAAAGAGTATGGCTTGACTGACCTTAAAGAAAAATATGAGGGCTAAGGATGATGACTGCTTAGCAACGCAACAGCTGGGGCTGGACTCCAGCGAGACTCAATTGGGGGCTTTAAAATCCTCTTAGAGCATTTGCTGTGCCTTCCTTCAAACCGAGAGCAAACATTTACACACACTAGATCTGGTAACAACATCATACTCTTCCTAACTTGTTAAGAAACCACAGTAAGGTTCAAAGGCTCTGAGGTCTTAACCTTCACACTTGGTGAACTGTGATGTGCCATCTTTGCTTGCACTTTTCATTTGCTTCCAAAGAGACGTTCTTTGACCAACAGGTAACTTTCCTGTAATATTCCATTAAAGAGCCATGACTACTTCAAACTGCCTGTCCCAGATGACAGACCATCTTTACTTTTGCTTTCATTCTTTACAAGGAGATTAAGAAACCTCTAGTGAGACATAAAAGGATATCAGAAGGTCCTCCCTAATTTAGGTGCCCAACCTGGTTGATGAATTGAACTAAGGCCACTGCTTGAAAGGATATTTTTCCCCAGAAGGAGAAGAACACTGGAGAATCCTTTTCCTTTTTGAGGAGAAGAAAGGAATGGCTCAACATGGCATTTGGCTCTCAGGAAATTAACCAATAAAGGAGGCTGCATGCAATGCTGCTGGATTTAATTAGGAAGTAGTAAGACCACAGCAGTCACAGGCTCTAATTTATAACCCAGTCCACGAAGAAAAATGCCTGACCCATTTTGTACGGTGGTTGAAGGAAAAATGTGGGATTCCCCAAAAATAATTTGAAAAGGATCCCCAAGAACTTTGTTAACTGTTTTAAAAGGCACCACTTCTTTGAGTATTTAGGGTGTGGAAAAGGTGATGTGACCACTGAGAACTGATTCCAAGAAAGATTTAATAGTCTTTCCTAAAAGAAGAAGTGGAGAAGGAAATGGCAACCCACGCCAGCATTCTTGCCTGGAGAATCCCATAGACAGGGGAACCTGTTTTGACTACAGTCCATAGGGTTGCACAGAGTTGGACATGACTAAAGCAACTTAGCATGCATGCTTAAAAGAAGGAGGGCTTCCCTGCTGGCTCAGTGGTAAAGGATCTCCCTGCCAGTGCAGGAGACATGGGTTTGATCCCTGATTCGGGAAGATCCCACATGCTGCAGAGCAACTAAACCTGTGAGCCACAACTATAGAGCCTGTGCTCCACAGTCCAGGAGGCACAACTACCGACCCACATGCAACAACAACCGAAGCCCTTGTGCCTGAGCCTGTGTTCTGCAACAGGAAGAAGCCACTGCAATAGGAAGCCTATTCACCCTAACTAGTAGCCCCCCACTCTCAACAACTACAGAAGAGTCCTTACAGCAACAAAGACCCAGCACAGCCAAAAATAAAGAAAGAAATAAATTATAAACAAATAAAAGAAGGAAGATTCTATATATTTCCATCATAATTCCATCCCCATTAATGGTAGGTACTCAGTATAGATGGTGTGAACAATGGTTATTCAATAACTCAGCCATCATGTACTCAGCTCATATTATGTAAAGGCTTTAGATCTTGAGCTAAAGATACAAAATCACAGCTTCTGATCCTAAAACACCAGTGGTCACATAAATATATAAGAAACAAGTCTCAGCTGAGTTGATAGTGACTCCATTCTTTCAGCTGCTCAGGTCAAAACTGTGGAGTCACCCTTGAGCCTTCTCTTTCTCTCACATACCATATTCAATCCACCCACTAGATTATTTCAGTAACTTCCTAACAGGTCTTTCTGTTTTTACCCTGTGTACCCTTCCCCCTGACCATCCCCCCATTCTGAATGTAACAAGTAGGGTACTCTTTCAAAAATATAAATACAACTATATCATGCTAGTCCGTGGTTCAAAATATCCAGTAGCTACCCTTGTCTCTTAAAATTCAAGTTCTTTTAACAGTTATATGGCCTTCTCTGATTTAGTCCTGATACATGTTTAAATTCATCTAGGACTCTCCTCTGTGCTTACACAGCTCCAGCCACACTGGCCTTCCTCTATCTTTGGAACAAACCAGACGCATTCCTCTTTTAAGGGTTTCACACTGGTTATTCCCTCTGCCTAGAATGCTCTTCCCAAGATATCCGTTATCGCCTGCTACAATTCAAGTATTTTAAATTCTACTGTTCCTGCTCCACCCTCAGTATCCCTATTTCCTGTATTTTCTAATTTTACTTATGACCTTCTAACAGAATATAGTTTGCTTATCTATTAAGCTATTGTTTATCATCTATCTCTTCCCACTATAAAGTAAGTTCTAAGGAAAGAGAGATTTTTATTTGTTAATGTTTTTGTTCAGTTTGTTTATCATGCCTAGAACAGAGCCTGGCACATATTAAGTAAGTGGCTGACTGAATGAACAATGAGACACTGCAGAAAATGCTACAACAGAGGAATTTGTTGTAGAGCCTCTATAGAGGATGTATTCAAGATGGATAAGTAGAGTCCCTGCCTGGGCATTATAAGAAAGTCCATTCATTTCTTTTAAAAATTGGCAGCCCAGCAAGACTGCCCTGATTTCTTCTAGATCTAAGTGCAACTCCTGCTGTTTTTCATAGCTAAGAAGAGTCTGGTTGTGCTAAGTGACTAGCTCAATCCTTTTCTGTCATTATCCCAGTCCCTATGTCCTTTTTTTAAATTAAAAATGATTGGGTGAATTTCCTAATCACTTATGGAAGTTTACAAAATAATAAATTGAAGTGGAACTGGGATGAGCCACCAGCTTAAAAAAAAAAAAAATGAACACAGAGTTCCTGGTGAGTTGTGGTTAGAAAACAGGAATAAATTTGAATTAATCATGATCCTGGCCATGGTGAGAGAAGGATGGAGAACCTACAGAATAGAAAGATGGGCCATGTTAGTAATGACCTAAGAAAAATATTGCCAGTATACAACTTTTTGGAACGATCAGGCATAATGAAATATTGAATAAATCCACCTGTGGTCTGCTATTGGTTAAGTTAAGTAACAACTTTATGAAAACACTGGCATGTCAGTTACTCAAAGGACAGATTTTTTTTGTAATGACTCAAAGACAGCAATGATTTTATGCTAAACTTAAAAGGCTAGTGCTTTCAAAATTTGATTTGGAGCATTTCTATTTTCTAAGATCCAGAGTCAATTCCTTGATATTGACTAGTGTCACTACACGACTCTTAAATCAATATACTGAGGGTATAATGTATGAAGGAGAAATAAAATAATGAGTTTCAAAATCAATGTCTTTTATGAAAATACATTAAATCTGAAAGCTCTCTACATGCTATAGGGAAAAGGAGCCAGAATTCCTACAAAAGGCAGGGGCACCCATCTCACCTAAGTAGTTATCATCCTCTGATTTCCCTGAGAAACTGTGCTGCCGCACATCGATATTGGTAGCACCAGCTGGAATTAGTACCACAACGTTGTAACCTGAAAAGAATTGAGCAGAAATTGAGCATTCCACAGACTGGTTTATTTTCTCTTAAGCATGGCGTAAAGGGTGGTGACAAAGGAATATATCAGAATTCTCACTGTTAGGCATCTTATAGCCAGATGGGTAATATACCTTAACAAGACTAATTTTATGTTTTACACAAATACTTTTACATATTACATGTGGTTAATAATGTTAACAGTTTGACTATTTTTCTTCTCACAGTTCTTAGGAACAAATTCTTACCATAATGTACTGTGTTAAATGTTCCTGCCACTGTTTTGCATGAAGAATTATCGCCACCACAAACCCCACATTTATCTCTCCGGGCTTTTGAGTTTAAAACATGATCGCATCCAGCTTGCTTTTAAAAAGAAAACAGTTGAAATACATGGTAAGTATTAGAGAGGTTATAAATTCTTTGGTAATGTGTTTCTTTGAAAGAGGGGCATTCAAAATGACAAGAAATTAAAGTCTTTGTAAACTTTTAAGCGTGGTGAACTCAAACAGTCTTTATCCTTGCTATCGGAAAAATGTGGTCCTTGGACCAGCAGCCGTGGGCATCCTAAATGATGTTGGGGATGCAGAATCTGAGGCCCCTCCCAGATTCACTGAGTCAGAGTATATTTCCTGGCATGTAAATAAGATTTTTGTTGCTTCATTTAGAAATTAAAGTTTGAGAAGCACTGGCCTACAAGTAAGTAAAGTAAATGAGAAAAACAGTTCAGGAATGGGAAAAAAAAAATTAAGGAGTGGTTGAGGGCTATCCCATTAAAGAGCTCATACCCCATCTTAAGGTAGCAGTTGCTGTCTAATCCAGGATACTGTTGCCATGCAGAAACAGGAGGCTAGTGTTGACATTTCTCAATTTTCCAAGATCTTGAAAATTTGATTTCATGTGAAATCCCCTGTTTAAACACTGGCTATGAATGGAGGACTAAAGCATGACTGCAGGCTGCCAGGTTGAGGCCTCAGGTTCCAAGTGGCCTCTTCACTGTCTTCCGACCTTAACACAACGCAGCAGAGCAGACTAGAGTCTGAAAACGTCAGTGGCGACCACCAGAAGACCAGGAGGGCGGAGCTCACATTCTCATCTATTTTGCTCCTTCGAATGAACCAGTCTCTGAGGAGAAACTCCATGTTCTGCTCTAGCATGAAGTGACAAGGAAGTCTTCACTATAGCTGTGGTCAGGAGTTGGGTGAAGCTCAGAGACTCTTTCATCAAATCCTACCAATGAAGAGCTTCAATGTGCCCTGGACTGCTCGCAAGGAACAAATGCATCATCCTAGAGCCTGGCTGTGTAAGAAATGATTTCTGACTAATGAGAACAGGAAAATAGTGCCAAACCGCAAGAAATCAGTGCTTTGATGCTTAACTATCTGCCAGAAGTGTTATTCAGTTTCTAAAACTTGCTGTCAGGAAGCTTTGGGGTTTAACCTTATGCACAATGGTTAAGGTATAGAAGTTGTGTATAGTGTCAATTATAATCTCCTCACAGGGAAGTTTCTTGCAGGCCCCCACAGAAGAGTGTGGTTTTCAAACTTTGGCATGCATCAGAATCACGTAGTGCTGGGAGGGATAAATTAGGAGTTTGGGATTAACAGATATACAGTACTGTATATAAAATACATAATCAATAAGGACCTACTATATAGCCCAAGCACAAGGAACTACACTCAATGTTTTGTAACAACCAATGAGAGAAAAGAAAGGATATATATACACACACACAGAGATAAATATAATTGAATTGCTGTACTGTACACCTGAAACTAGTATAACATTATAAATCAATTACACTACAATTTAAAAAATCAAATAAAATAAAACAAAGAAAAAAAAGAGAATCAGATGGTGCTCAAGCTGGTCTGAGGACCCCACTTTAGGAACCACTGCCCTGAAGATAATGCACAGACACAAGCAGCTGCTATTGTATCGAGGAAGCTACACATCACCGTTTGGCAGAAGAACAACATAGTGAAGAGCGCACCATCTGGGACTCACCCGGCACAGGCCTTGGACACAGATGTCATTGGTGTCCTGGCCACACGGTGTTCCATCTATCACTCTGTCACGGAGCTGATAGTAGGCTGTGCTCCCTGCCACCCTGCAGAACAGCTTGCAGCGGTCCTTCATCAAAACTAGACAGGAGAGACACCGTAACACGTGACTTTCGTGCCTGGACCCTGTGCCAGCCTGCAGCTGTGGGCACCTCCCCAGATGAACTTACTTCCACTGTACTTTGGGACCCAGCGCACATTCGGATGTAGACCGTTGATGTTGAAATGCTTTCCGTCAAAGTGAGCACACTGTTCGTCTCGGAAGTCTCGCTTCTGCTTGGGACACGGCTCTGTGTTGCAGGACTTAAATTTCATTCTGCGCCCTACACAATACTTGCCACCATTTTTGGGCCTGATGAAAGGTAAAGAACACACAGACTGTATTATACTGTATTTCTCTAATGTATTATAATGTTGTATGTTATAATGTGGCTTCCTGTCTTGGAGGGAGGCAAATGTGAAGTGGTCAGTGACAGTGGCCAGGACAAGGGCTCTGGGGGTCTGGGTTTGTACTCTGCCTTCAACATCAGTAAATGTATAGCCCTGGGCAAGTCACTCAATGTCTGCAAGCCTCAGCCCTTCCATGTGTAGAATGGGAAAGCACCATTCTGATAAGGTAAGGCAGTTTTGAGGATAAAATGAGAGAGCATCTAACTTAAAAGTTTGAAATATAAAACCTGGGGACTATCAGGTCATGTTCTATCCTCCATGCCCTGAACATCCATACTCCTTTAATGACACAGAAGAAGAAAAGGTACAAATGAGTACTTGGAATGTTCCTGTCTACCTCTGTACCATGGTATTCTCATGGGTGACCATCCTAAAATTTGCCCCATTCCATTTCCATTTCTTTCTTTCCCTCTTCTCTCTTTCTCTCTCTCTCCCTGCATGACTATTGTTTTTTGTTTTGTTTTACAAATAAGATGGAATAGGATGTGCTCATATTTTGACTAAACTTAATAGGAGACGCAGGAGAGACTGTACTGGTTTCATTAACGTGTGTGTGACAAGAGTATGGAGGATGCCTTGCAAAGCACCACAGAACAATTTAATCTCAGCATGCAACCCCGCTCATGGATTTTCCAGATGTGACCCAGAGAGTAAATTATATAACCCATCTCCCAACGGTCAACAGCTTGCCAAGTGCATCACAGAAACGGGAAGATCACAGAATCAGAGGAAATCAGACTCACCCACCCACAGCTAGAGCAGCCTGGATACTGTAGCTACTCTAAGGCACCTCTCAAACTGAAAGATTTCTACCTTTTGTCTTTAGAGTGAATCTTTCAGAGTAATTCAGACAAGAAGTGTTTTTTTTTCCCCCCTTTGTTTTCTTTTGTTAAACTAGTACTTGGGAAATGGGAACTCTATCCATGACCATAAAATACAGAATCAAGAGCAGTCTAGCAGAGCTGGTAAGGCTCCAGAGTTGGATCTGGTTTCCCGTCGTGGCCCCAGCCTCACTCTGAGACTAGAGACAATGTTCCAGCCTCCCACAGATTCGGTTTTCCTCTTCTCTAAAATGAGTGCACACAGCAGATGCCTAAAAATGTTAGCAACTATGACGTCATATTTCAGCACAACCCAACCCAATCTGATCAAGTTTGTTTTGAGTACTGCATCTGAGCTATGATGTACAGGTGAGTCAGGTCTCACTGGTATTGCTGAGTGCCTGAGTCTCAGCAAGGGCTTCCTGTGCATGATGCTCTTATAAACATGTTCCCTCCACTGTGCAAAGGGAGGTAAGAGCATGGGCTTTGCAGTCACAAGCTGGGCAACTTTGTGTGAGCTACCTGGCCTCTGTGAGCTTCGTTCTGCCCAAGTAAACACAGATGATACCATTCACCTGAAAGCCTTGTTATAAATGAAGAGTTCAATAAGGAGTATGGTAAGTATTCATTGTCATTTATCATGAAGGCTGTATCTAGGGATGCAAAACAGCACATAATCCAGCAACATCTATGTATGACTGTTTCTCCATTAAGCCATGTGGTTTACATCTGCCTTGTAGGCTTGACTAGCCCATACGCACGCCTATCTTGTGCAAGGGAAAGCCAGGTGAGGTACTTTTATACCAAGGGTTCAGAGAAGTTAAGGACTTTGCCCAAGGTAACACAGCTAACAAAAGAGCAGAGACCAGACTGAAATTCAAGCTTCCCAGATTCTCCCTCTGTGCTCTTTCTGTTTCATTACCCACCAGCTACAGCCCCGAGTCCTGTCTTTTTCTTTTTTGGTACCATGTAGAGATACAGTCTTGGTTTCCTGGATACCAAGCTCTTCTCTCAGTACCAAAGCAACCTAATCTCATGCATAAAATATCACTGATGACACATGAATAACAGAGCAGGCTCATATAGCTGTAAAATTTGTTTTTCCATTTATAAGGAAGATCCCTTTCAATTTTTTTCTCAAATTGAAACAAACTTTGTGGAATTTTTTTTTTTAATGTTCCAACTAACTACAGTGGGATCCATCAGGTCATTTACATGTTGCCTGAAAGTAACTCATATTTCTTCCCTTTTGCAAATAATTTATTTTACAGTTGATTTTTCTCTTCCAGTTCTCTTATATAAAAAGTCTTTTCTGACTCAAAATTGAACAAGAGCAGCAAATAGTTAACATTTGCAGGTGGCTTCTTGTTTCACATAGTAACACTGTTCACCTTTGCTTGCTCTGACCAGTACCAAAAGAGCATTTTTAAATTTCTTTTTATAACTGATATTTAAAAAAATAAAGAACACATAAAAAACACTTCATGTATGAGGCAATATTGCTGAAGGTTATATACAGACCCTCGAAACAGAAGGTTTGAACCCCAGCCCTGTTTCTTAACAACGGTGCAATCTTAGGCAAATCACTGAATCTCTCTAAGCTTTAGTTTCCCTACCCATAAAAGGGAGATGATGCTAATATCTACTTCATGGGGCTGAGTGAGGGTTTTTCGGTTAACAGATCTGAAGCACTTGAACATGGCCACCCACACAGTAACTGTTAAGCTATTCCAAGTGTCTGTAACTACAGTCCATGGGCCAAATCCAGCCTACTGTCTGTTTTTATACGGTTAGTGAGCTAAGAATAGTTTTTAACAGTCTAAAATAATTTAGAAATAAATAAAAAGAAAGAATATTTTGGATCACATAAAAAGTATATGAAAGTCAAATTTCCATGTCTATAAATGAAAGTTCTGTTGGGATATAGCTACACCCACATGTTACATATTATCAACATATGTTTCTCACTAAATCACAAAGTTGTACAGTAGGGACAGACAGCCGATGTTCCCCAAATCTAAGATATTCACTATCTGGCCTTTTACAGAAAACGTTTGCTGACCCCTGAGCTGGTCTAGCATACAAGGCACCAATGTCACCTGCCAAGATAGGTCACTGATTGTGCACAGCCATCCTGTGCAGTAGGTAGTGACACCCTTGTTTCTGAACCTTTGCTTGAACTGGGTTTAGAGATGTTAACTAACCTGGCAAGCTCCCATGCCAGCTGAGTGAGACACACAGAGATCAGGCAGGCCTTCCTGACCCAAAGCCCATGACCTGGACTCCCTCCCACAGAGCCTCTCTTGACACAGGTCTCTTCCCATCTCAAAACTCATTCTATGACTATTTGCTTTTTGTATGAAGGCAAATGGTATTTTATGAATGAGCATAAATTCACCCTTTAAAATATATAGCTTTTAAAAAATATCCTAGACAATAGGATCTCTACCGAATCTGCATGGACTGTGTGATGGGGAGGGCTTTAGACAACTAAATTTCATGGAAAAATTCGTGTTTTAATTTAATAATTTAGCTGAGTGGGAGTTTTATTCCCCCATAGGCAAATACTGAAAATTATAGGCAATGTAACTTTAGAAATAGTATGTCACATTTTCCAACTATTAAGATACTTTTAAAATATTATTTCTCAAATAGGGATAGAAAGAACTTATGGAAATTGCCGATTAATTACTATGAAAGTAACTGTATTGAGCACAGGCAAGTTGAATCATATATATAAAGAAAACGCACAATGCTGCATGGCCAAAGCTCTGGGAGAATTTTGCAAAGATCATTGTAGGTGTATTCTACCTATACGGAAAGTTAAACTTTGGTCTGCAAATGGGTTTGAACAAAAACCTCAACATTTATGTTTACTTACAACAAACTAGGGTTAGCACTAGGAAGAAATTTCTAATGATACAACAGGCAGCCTGAGAAGGTAAATGTGTTTTATATCTGGAAGGTTTTAAGAAGGGGTCTAATGACCAATTATGAGGAATGCTGAAAGGCTATTCAAGGGTTAGATGGGATGGACCAAGGAGCCATACTAGCGATCATTAACAACTTTGTCAAATGGAATAGTCTGTGGGACTGGACCTCTATACATTCATTAGTTAATGGCTTTCCCACAGCAGCCAATTCTCAGTATTTCAAAAGATAGATCTTTCTAGACTTATCATGGGGTTATGTCCTGATTAAACTCATTGTAATTTGAAAATATCTTAAAAGTTGAAAGTGCATTTAATATACAACTTACTGAAGAGTCTGCCTTTAATATGCTCAGAACGCTTATGTTAGCCTACAGTTGAGCAAAATCATCACACATAAAGCTTATTTTATAATAAAGTATTGACTGTCTCATAATGTATTGAATGCTATACTGAAAGTAAACGATAGAATGGTTATCGAGGTACAGAATGGTTAGAAGCATATTAGTTATTTACCCTTATGATCACATGGCTGACTGCAAGGTACAGTGGATGCTGCTGCCCAGCATTATCTGAGCATCATACTGCATATTAGCAGCCTGACAAAAGATCAAAATTCAAAATCTGAAGCACTTTTTCTCTTCTGCATGTGCTCCTGCTCAAATGCTAAGTCACGTCCAACTCTTTGTGACCCGCCAGGCTCTTCTGTCATGGGATTTTCCAGGCAACAACACTGGAGTGGGTTGCCACTTCCTTCTCCAGGGGATCTTCCCAACTCAGGGATCGAGCTCTCATCTCCTGTGTATCCTGCATTAGCAGGTGGATTCTTTACCACTGAGCCACCTGGGAATCCTAGCGTATTGCTGTTGCACCATTGTAGAGAAACCTTAAGTCTAACCAACACAGATTGGGGACCATCTGTAAATTCATCCAACTCAATACCTCAAAAAAACTTCCAAATGAGGAAGCCAAAAACTTCAGTCAAATGAGGGACTGATTTCCTTAGGTGAAATGTACATATGTTTATTTTTCTATTTATGGACGATTTCATAAGCAGTAGCTAGAGTCAAAGCCTAAATGGGAAATACATAGTTTACAATCTTGTCTTTTTCTCAAATCTATGAGCTTATTCTTTAATTTGACCTACCAATTTAAAAGCAAAACAGAAGCATAAGAAGAAGGAAATACTTTGCCTTTCTTAAAAAAAAATCTGCATGATTTTTTTTAGTTTGGTAGACCGTAACAATTCTGTAATCCAGTTTGTTCTAGTCACCGGGAACCTCAGAGCCAAATTTAGAGGACAAAATAAGTATATGGCCCAATGGCCTGGTAATGCATCTTTTATATCTAAAGCTTTTTCTTGTTCTGGGACCCCAAATTCTGGTTTTGGTGGTTCTGATTTTAAATTTCATCCTATGACATGTTTCTTATAGATCAGGTGACCATGTAATTGTTTAATTCAGGACATTTTGAGAATTGAAAGGAGAGCTATCGATAACGTCTCCAGGATAACAGATGTAAATGGGAACCACCCTTACAATCCAAAACATACGCTTATCTTATATGTAGGACATAAATAAAAAATGGGATAAAAAAGTAAAGCATTTAAAGATAAAACATTAGGGCTCCACTGTCATGATGGTGTACCAACTGGGACCAAAAACATTTTGGGGATATAAAATTAGAGAGGATATGCTTTCTAAAGTTTGTTCTTCGAGTATAGCATAATCCCATGCACATGGCAAGGCTGCTTCCCTTTTTTAGCTTCTCTATATTTAAAGAAAAAAATACATAGCTTAAAGTATCCAGATACTAAATAATTATTGAATCCCATGAATACAGTGAAAACAAAAGAACAATCCAGTGTTCTTGATAGAGGCCTACCACGGATTCTAAAAATGGAGCTCCTTATTATATTCTAAGGGCTTCTGAAACTGAGAAGAGCATTTTGCCAGCCAACGTGGGAACCAGGGGTTCCGTTCTTTCAAACTTCTTGAGAATCAGGACAGCAATCACTGGCACATTCTACATAATGAACCATCTGCTCTGCTAATTTCTCTGAACAAGCTTTTAAACTGATTTGGACCTGTTTTTCTCTTTTCAGTGTCCCTCTCTCTTGTCTAGCTGACTTCCCCAGCGACATCGTAATCTCAGTTACGAGAGGCAGACTCCTTCCTTAGTAGTTCACAGGGACATTCCAAAGTGCACATAACTTGGAGGAGTTTAATGAAATGATGTCAGTGCTGACACTCAACAAGGTGGATTGTATTATTTTAAAACTTCCCATAGCAAACATCCAGGACAAGGACATCTAACTGAAGTCTTCATTGATCGGTTCCTAACTTCTAAAGGCAAGTATCTCTGCTTTGCTTTGAAGCTCAAGATCTTTTCCTGCTGAGATCTTTACACTGGGTGCTTTTCTTTGTCTGGCCCATTCCAATTATGGTATAATTTATCTCTTTCCACACTACTTTAAGAATTGCTCTAACACTATTAAAACAAAACAAACACACACAAAAACAAAAACCCACTTCTTTTGAATGGAATATTCTTGAGTCAAAATGTTAAAAGTACCTACTGTTTGCAATATCCACATCCCCATGATAATAAGAGCTTACTATGATAATAACAGGGCTTCCATGGTGGCTCAGTGGTAAAGGATCCGCCTGCCAAAGCAGGAGATGCAGGTTCAATTCCTGGGTCAGGAAGATCACCTGGAGAAGGTAATGGCAACCCACTCCAGTATTCTTGCCTGGAAAATCCTCGTGGACAGAGAAGCCTGGTGGGCTACAGTCCATGAGGTTGCAAAGGAGTCAGAAATGACTCAGTGTCTAAATAACAACAGCAACAACATAATAGGAACAATTTTGGTTCAATGTAGCCAAAAGTTTTAAGTTTTAAAAAAATTCATCATATTTGCTGCTAGCTTAAAGTGTTCTGTTTTAAAACTTCAACAATATAAGCAGCTCAGATTATGTAACCAATCGATTTTAACAAGCAAGTTGTGGAACAATATATATAGGATGACCCATACTTTGTTATGTGATACTTATTTCATGCAATACATATTAGATCTATAATCTCTTTTGAAGTCTGGAATAATGCACAAATTATTTTTTAGTGGTTATTTCTTGTGGGGAGTAGGGGAGTAGGAATAATAATGACAGTAAGTTTTTATATCATATGCTTTTATATCTGAATTTTTTGAAAACATCTACTATATTTACATTATTTTTTTTAACTTTCAATTTTGCATTGAGGTATCACTGATTAACAATATTGTGACAGTTTCAGGTGAACAGCAGAGGGACTCAGCCATACATATACGTATGTCCATTCTCTACATCATTATTTTAAAAACTAATACTAAACATAGACTTTATGGGAAAATCTAATGTGTATTAGTTTATATACATAGCTACAGGGTCAGTTTTACAGATCAGAGTCTGTATCTTATAGCTTTTTACTTGTTCTTAAACATTTATATTATGTGGATATGAAATAATCTTGGACTGTGAACAAAGATAAATTAAAATAAATTAATCGCCATCTGTGATTTGAACTACAGAGTGTTTATGTGACCAGGGCTTGCAACGACAGGCTAAAGCTATATTCTTTTTTGTGTAACAATTCAGATTTTCATTATTAAAAAATGGCACCTTTGTCAACAGGAGGCCCTTTTCCTATTCAGGGAGAATCAGCTGGCCTGAGTAGCCATTACTATTTTAGGACTTCAGGGTTAGACTCTGCAGTAAAACCTAGCCTACTGCACTAGCCCACTTTGCTCCTCAACCTGCTTGCTTCTCTCTCCTATCCAGTCTGTTATCCCTAATATAGACTGTTAAAAATTAAAGAGTACTGCTGAGTCAAACCGTTTTGCATAATTCCAAAGCAGCTGGTTCTTAAAGATGGCTGTGAGTCTGCATATCTAAAAACTAATCTGGGAAGACCTCTTGGGCTATACAGCTTTGATGGTAATAATAGCATGTATAATTTTCTGTTCCTTTAAACTTTATACATCTTAGAACCACACAAAATTTGATATCACTTCTTATAATGAAGATAGCAACTTTTAAAATCCGCTTATAAATAGCCTCTCCCCAAACACACGTCTATCATAATGAGATGCTGGGGGAAAATCCTGTGGACTTTATTTGAACATGTAAGTTTCAACAAGGTTTGGCTGGTGGAGACCACTATGGTCACTTGCTGAGAATCATCCTGAAAAGCGGTTGTTGGATGGGACCTCAGGAGTCAGGGAAAAAATAGTTTGATTCAAAAGTAAATCCTGACTTGGGCTTCCAGGTCCCTTGGGGTTCACTAATGCCACCTTGGGGGTCTGTGTGCCCTTTTTAGCATTTCAGTTGCTAAGCAGAACGTTAACATTTATCTACAATCTGCATGGAAATGTCCAATTTCTTTGTTTCCTAATGAATATTCACTTGTTCGCTTTATTAACATGCTACCTCAATTCTTGGTGGGGGTTGGGGGGGGGCCAGTGAGACATTCCCTAATGTCAAAGCAACACAGAGCATCTACCATTTAACAGATAAAGTTTTTAACATAAAGGGTCATAGGAGGAAAATAACACAGAGGGATAGAGCATAGATTCCATGGGTCTGGGAAGTCCTAGAAGTCCACCCACTTTATAATTTGGAAAGAGCTCTTCACTTGCCTCCATTTAAATGACTTCCTCTAGGAATTCTCCACGCCTGCCACCCCAGTAGGAAGAGCGATGAGCTCAAGGACTTACTCTGGTCTGTTGCACTCTCGAATGGCTGTTTTGATGCCCCCTCCACATGTTCTTGAGCAGGTTCCAAAGTGACTCCAACTTCCCCAGGATCCATCAGTCACAGGGACCTCCATTTCTTTGGGAACACAAAATCCAAACTTGCAGTGCTGTATTTAATAAGGGGAACAGTGAGGGAGAGCTTGGTGCTTGAGGTATTGCAGGACCCACTGTCCTTTTAAATATACCGTACTATCATTGTTTTCCACGTGCTGGTTTGAAATGTTGCAATTTAATTATCTCTGTGAGTAATGGAAACGGTAGGGACTTTAACCTCTTAGTGATTTTAGGCTGTGTCTTCATTTACAACTGGCTTGAATAAAACTGGCCAATGAGTGGCTGGATTCAGGCTGTCAGGGAAAGTCCAATGGCCAGCCTTTAAGCACTCAATTAGTCTACTTGGAAAAATGAGGCGTGGAAATGGGCTGTCTACTGGTTATAGACAGGGTTGAAATGAGTTATTGGATTTGCATAGTGCATCTCCATTAACAAGGCCTAGAGATGTTGTGAGTCTGGTAAAATATAATGCTTATGGTTCCTCATGGATTTGAAAACTCCATTTTAATTAAATGGGAGAGGGGGGAAAAAAGCTAGTTACATGATTCCTATAAACTCACTCTAGCAGAAGATGAGACTAAAGCAAAAATGGACACATTACAGAGAGCCCTAAACTTTATTACTTTTGGGTTACTAATGGTTTCATATTCTTCAGCCTGGAGCAGGAAGAGAGCCTTGATGCTTTAAAGCAAAACAAAGTAAAACTCCCCAGCAGGACAAGGGAGTGGAGAAGCCCATTCCAACCCTCTGCCATTGTTGGGGTGTGAGGCCCTGACAAGAAGCTGAGGTCACTGAGCAATGCACAAAGGAAGAGGGGCAGCAGGAGAGTGGCGCCCCGCCGCTGGCTCAGATCCCTGAAGCGGAGCTGGTGGTAGCCACTGTGCTTTATCTGCAGGGAGGACTCAGGGTGGAAGCAGAGCCAGGCGGTGGGGGAGTGCGCAGGGAAAGGGGACAGATAAGAGACTGGTGAAGCCCCCGTCAGTGGCCAGTCCTGGCAAAAGCCTGGCGAACAACTGTTTAAAAGAGCACAGTTAGGCTTTCTCTACTCTTCCCTTATGCCTTTTTCCTTATAATTATCCTCTTGAGTAACTGGGACCACGTTCCTCTCTCTAGGCTGTTTGGCTGATGCTTAAAAGGTTCGGCATCCAGACTCCTGGATAACTCTGTACCCGAGAAATGTGGGCAGAGGCAGCAGTGACCACATCACTCCCCCAAATTATTTTACAGTTGTCTTTACAGCAATCTTGAACAGTCCTTGGAATCTATGCACATAGAAATCAGTGAGACACCAGAGGGATCGGGTAGAGAGGGAGGTGGGAGGGGGGATCGGGATGGGGAATACATGTAAATCCATGGCTGATTCATGTCAATGTATGACAAAACCCACTACAATATTGTAAAGTAATTAGCCTCCAACTAATAAAAATAAAGGAAAAAAAAATCAGTGAGACAAGTGGGAGGGGACATGGGTAAACCTATGGCTGATTCATGTTGATGTTTGGTAGAAACCGATGCAATACTGTTAAGCAAATATCCCTCAATTAAAAATAAATAATTTAAAAAATCAATGAGAGAGGCAGCCTGGTGTACAGCATCACTATCTAATAATATAACATGTGCCACACATATAATTTAAGAAATTCTAGCAGCCACATTAAAACAAGTAAAAAGAACACTGAAATTAATTTTAATATCTTTTACTTAGCTCAAAATATCTAAGACATTATTATTTTTCCATATAATCAACATAAAATTATAACTAAGGTTTTCTTCCCACACTTTTTTTCATGCTAGGTCTTTAACATGTGGTATGTATTCTCATTTTAGCACATTTCAGTTCAGAATGACATTTCAAATGCTCGCTAATCACATGTGGCTAGTGGCTGCCCTATTGGACAGAGCAGATCTTAAGGGGACATAGCTTAGCAGGCAAATGGTCTGGTAGTATGGAGTGGCCATTCTACAAATTAATTGTGACCTCGGATGAGTCACTGAACTCTAATTCCATACCTGAAAAATGAGAACCTACTTGCCAAAGTTGTTTTGAGTTTAACATGAGACAATGTGTGGAAAGCACCTAACACACAGTTGAGGACAGAGGAGATCCAATTTGAAAAAGGTTTGTAATAATAAGAGCAAATATTTACATTTAATAGCACTTAATAGTTGCCAGGCATTCTTCTAAGTATTATGTATGTATTAACTTACTTAATCCTCATAACATACTATGAAATAGGTATTGCTGTTACCCCCATTTTTACAGAAAAGAAAATGGAGGCACAGGGGGGTTGATGTCAAACATCTGTTAAGGAGCTGAGCTGATACTGAAACACAATCTGGCTCCAGAGTGCATACTCTTAACTGTGATACATGCTGTCCTTCTACTGTTAGCAAATGTGAACAATTTTTGATATCTTAGACTGAGATTTAAAAGCAAGACTAATGAGATGGTGATGTGAGGCTGACACTCTGAGGTGTCTACCCAATATCATTCTGTTCTTTGTCTTTCTTAACAATCTATATTTCCCTGGATTCTTGTATAGGTAGAAATGGTCAAAGAAATGTTAGCAGAATTCATTGGATAAGATTCCTGGGAAGGTCCTTTTGCCTCTTTGCACCTTGTCCTTTGGTTTCATTCTGCCTGGGACTCAGAGTCAATGGCTGGAGCTATAGCAACCATTTTGTGACCCTGAGGATGATGGCCATTTGAATATGATAGTAGAACAGAAAGCAATTAGGAGCCTGTGTCTCTTATTTTGTACACCTACCATGGCAGCTCCACGACCTGCCTACATCTGACTAGTTTTTGTGTATGTGTGTGTCAGAAAAAAAGCCAATTTTCTTACACTACTATAATTCAGTATGACCTGAACAAAATACTTAATTAATATACAACTGAGGTTACAGCCAATGCCCAAATTCATCCCTCAAATCTTGATATCAGATACACATTTTATAAATTCTACAAACTAAAGAGAACATTCCTATGGCTAGTCATAGACTCCTATAATGAGAAGTTCTCTGGAAATATATTTTTTCCTCACAACACTTCAGTCTTTAGTCTGCTGACCTCTCTATCCTATAGACTCTACCTCCATATAAGAACAATATTCTTCAAAGTAACCATAATTCTCATTAAGTATTACCATAAACCATAAAAGAGTAAGGGCATAGGTTAGTTAACAATGGATTAAAATGTCCTTATAGGGTCACTTCTTAAAAGAAAACCTAAATAAAAACTCATCTGCAACTTAAATATTTCTTGCTGATATGACCACTGATGGGGGTTCAAAGGGAAGAGAGAACCTCAGAGGAAGAGGGAAGAACCTGACGTGAAAGAGGCTGGAAATGGGGACTGTTTGGCAAATATGCATCAAGTTAATCTATTTTACCAGGAAACTAAACAAACGATAATTATATACCAGAAAAACCATTACATCATAACAAAGCATTAAGCAACTGGTGGAGCTGGAGCCAAAATATAATCGGCCTTTCCTAAAAGCACCCAGAATCATTTAAATGATATTTTACATAAATGTTTTTCTAAAGAGACTGGAAGAAGGACTTGGAGGTCAATTTTGTCCCAAAGAAGCTTAAAATACAAGAGTTTCAAACCTCAGGTTTACAAACAGGGTTAAAATGAAAATGTTAATGGATTTAAAAAGAGAATGGAAAAAATAAAGGGACATGAGAGAACCATTCATCAAGATAACATTGTGTCAGCAGTCCAAGACAGATTACTGCTGAGGGAGCAGGGCAGAGAGAAGAGAAAGAAAAAAATTTTAACCTAGCAGCAAAGGGAGTTAGAATTTGCTAGAGAAAAGGATAAGGTTTTACTGCCAATTCAGTGAAAACAAAACAGAATAGAGAAACACAGAACATTTGTGCAAACATATTCACCATCTTATTTGTAAAATGAATAAATGTTCTTCTGGGAAATAAACATACCAACAGCCATGTCTTTAATATAAGCTACTAGACTTAGCCACTTTACTAAAACAAACTAAAAATGTACCCATCATGTTCTCTGCATAGCTGCTTCTCTCAAAGTGTTCCGAGTCTGCCCTTTGGAATTCCTTGAAGTCTCTTGCTTTTGCTGAACAAATGCATACAAGGTAAATGTTTTTTTGAAAGATCTCCCCAAACCCCCCATTTATCAGGTATGAGATTATACTATAATCTTTTATCTTCTGTTATAAAAACAGAAGATTAGAAAAAGACACAACAGACATCTTCCCAAGTACTACATGGAGCTTGGTAGCTTGTACATGACTATTTTACTAAATACAATTCATTTCATCATATGATTGAGAGTTCTTCTTTGTTAAGGTTTTTTCATCAGTAATATGTATCAGATTTAGACAAATAGGTGGGTATATCAGATTGACTAAGAACCATGACACAATACAAGTGCTATCTTTGAGCTTAAACAGAATCAATTTAAATGAATAGTTGGCTGGTTCAACTCAGATCAACTAACTAAGCTGTCAACCATGTCTACTGTCATCTCCCAGCAACTGATAGCAGTTGTATGGGTGACTATGTAGAGAAGGACTCTGAAGCTACATCTTCACTGAGGAAGAACGAATGAATTCTGATGGCTGACGTGGAAACCTGGGAACCGTATTTCCACTCAAACCTAAGATTCTCTGGCCATCAACACAGAGTTAAATGTTTTGCAAAAAGTGAAAGGTTCACTCTGACCAAGTAGATATATTTCTTTCTAAGTGAGTGAAAGAGGCAGTGCTAAAGTTGATATGCTTATGTCCTTACACAGTTTTGTTAGGCTGCTCTTGGAGAAAGCTGTATTCTCAAATGCTGAGGTCCTAGCCGTAAAGAAGTGAGACCAGAACTGACAGAGTAACCAAGCTAGGTCAAGTACAAAATCATCTTCATTATAAGTTTATAAAACCACTCTAATAAAATTAAAAAAAATTGAAATCACTCTGAGAAATGAGTGGAAAGCTACTAGTTCTCCTGTTTGACCACAGAAACTTCAAGAGCCCAGTGAGCTTGAGTTATGGCCACAGTCTGCAGCTGCAGAGCCTGCAGCCCCTTCAGACACAGAAAGCAAAGAGAAATAGAGAGGGAGGAATAGGGGTGTGTGAGGACTCCACCCTGAGTGAGGCTGAATGACCTTGGGCAAACTCTTAAGATTCCCTTGGACTACAGACTTAATTAAGATTCCCTTGGACTACAAGGAGATCAAGCCTGTCAGTCCCTAAAGGAAACCAGTCCTGAATATTGGTGATGGACAGGGAAACCTGGCGTGCTGCAGTCCATGGGGTTGCAAAGAGTTGAACACGATTGAGCGACTGAACTGAACTGAACTGGTCATTTCTCCTTTGTGTTCCCTATCTATAAAATCAGGGATGGGATAGGTAAGTTCCTCATCTCTGAGGACCACATGTTTCCATGAAAACACTGGGAGCTACTGATTCCTAAAGTGGAAAAAGAGAAAATCAGATGAGAACAAAATAATAAATGTAAGTAAAGTGGACGATGAGAGAAGTGAGGAGAAAGGAAAAAACTTAAGGATGACATGAGACTCAGATATAGTACAGGGATTGCATCACAGGTAAGTGACAGAATACCATTTTCTTCACGAATTCAAAAATCAGGTTCACATCTAAAACTTTTGGTAAGTAAATCCTTAACATATTACCCCCCCCCTTTTTTTTTCTTAAAAGAGAGACACCAGGTGCAAAATGTTACAATAGTAATACTTGTAATTGCTGGGACATTGTTATCACTAGGCTATACAAGAAGCAGATTTTGTTTGGTTACTAACAAATAAATGGGAACTATTATAACCAACTCAGAATTTGGATTTGCAAATAACCCAGGTGATATCACAGCTCCATTAAGTGATCAGCACTGGCTGGGAAAAGCCTAATATCCAAGTAGTGAACACAGTAAGTCTTCCTGTATTTTCTTGATTTTAAGATATTCCACCAACTTAGTAACAGCCTTTTCCACTGCCACTCTAACAGAGAGAGAGAGAAAAGATATGCTACCTCACATTAAATGTTCCCATAAATTGAAAAGCACATTGGAATTTAAAAAACATTAAGAATCAGAAAAATATGTCTAAGGAATTGAGGAAATAATGATAGCTATGTCCCTCATGCCAGTATTAGGCTGTAAGGTAAGTTTGCACAATTTTCAAGAGCAAAATTGAACCTCCTACCTCAAAAAAGTATTACGCATGCTGAAACACACTGCATTAACTTATGTTCTCAACAGTGGTGACTGAGCCTACAGCCCAGATCTTGCCCACAACTGCCCCAAGACAGAAGGACAGATTGGGGTGTTACTTGCCTTTCCAGGCTCTTCACACTCGGTTCCGTCAGCCCAGGGTGTGTGCTGAGTCCGGCAGCCTTTGTGCGCCCCATCCACATTATTGCACCAGAGCCGTCTGCACTGCATCTGCGCAATTCAGTTGAAGGCAATTCAGTGACAATGTGCATCAGTGACAGCAAGCAAGGCAAGGTTGCTTTTAACAGTCGTTCTGCCAGTGACGCACAGTATAGGTTAGAAAGGGTTGTTTTTTTTCTTGGTCTGATAAATGATAAAATATTCCAATGGATACAAAGGGCAGCCCAGGAGACACACTTCTATGTCTGGTAGGGTTTGCAGGGATGTCAAAGGGGAACCACTGTGCAACAGGAACATACAAGATGTCATTTGATCCTGGTAACATCTCCCCAAATTACAGATGAGGAAACTGAGGCTGGCAGAACATAGGGCAGGTCAGTGTCACAATGGAAATGTATGATGTGAGTTTAGGTTTGCAATGAGCTATGACTGGAGAGTGGGTTTTGATTTCTGTTGTGATTAGTTTTGGTTTGACTTGATGTTAAAACTGGTATTCTTCCTACTAAGCCATACATATGGCTCTTTTCTAGAGATTTCAGGGGTTGTCAGAAGAAAAGAAGGGACAAAATATCAGTAATATTTCAGGCATATAAAAAATATGAACAATAACATAATGGATACCCGTATGTCCACCTCCCAAATTAGAAAGAAGAATTCATGGGCCGAGCCTTGCACATTCATTCTCAATCCCAATCCCTTCTCTTTCTCCACATAACCACTGTTCTAGTGATGCTCACTATCTTACCATCCCCATTGCTTTTACCGTGTGTGTACATGTGCTCAGTCATGTCTGACTCTCTGCGATACCATGGACTGTGGCCTGCCAGGCTTCCCTGTCCGTGGGATTTTCCAGGCAAGAACAGTGGAGTAGGCTGCCATTTTCTCCTCTAGGGGATCTCCTGACTGAGGGACCAAACCCATATCTCCTGCACTGGTAGGTAGATTTTTCACCACTGAGCCACCTGGGAAGCCTATTGCTTATACTACACATGTTTAAATATCTACCGATAATGCACAGTACCTTGGCTTTAAACAAATCAATGCTATTCGATACTTCAGAACATACAGATGCATCCTACAATCTGCTATTTGTTTCCTCTATGCACTGTGATTTTTAGAGTTATCCAAGTTGATATATTTAGCTCTATTTCAGGCCATACTATTTTTTTTTTCTTGTAGTGTAGCTTGTTTTTATTTATGCCACAAATATTTCAAAGAAATTACAAAATACTCAAATGGAAAGAACACAGAAACCACAATTTCTGGGTGTCTACTCTGTTCACACTGTGTAATCTCAAGGCAAACTACTCATATATACATTTAGCTTCAAGATACATATAAACGTAGCAAATAAGAATGTACTCTCTGCTCTGCCACAGTGAAGTGAAGCACAACTTTGACGACAGTGAACGATACACTCAAAACATGGAAGAGCAAAACTCAAGTCCAAAGCAAGGTAGGAAGCCAAGGAGTTGGACTTCAAATACACTGCGGAGGCCTAGGGTCTCCTACACACACTGGAGCTGACCAGGTGAGCTTTTCAGGTTGTGGGTTTCCACATGGAGAATCCCAGTGCTTCACCTGGGGACAAGGGGAGAAAACCAAAATCTAATGAGAAAATGCCTTCAGACAGTTTTCAAGTACAGACTTCAAAGTACTTCACTCTCTTCTTTGGAAACGTGGACAATAGAGAGAGGACAGAAAGAAGGCTTAACTGAACGGTAGGCATCGTGGAGTTGCAAAGAGTCAGATAAAATTGAGTGACTGAGCACACACACACAGGCATCATGTCCTATCCAAAGGGAGAAGACGCGGGGCAGGAAGGAGCAGGGCATCTGTGTAGGAGCTGGGAACATCAGGAGCACCCGGCAGGAAGGAGCCTGGCTCAGAGGTGAAGAGCCTGCAGTGAGAGCCTGCCCAGGTATCATGTCACTAGCCCCAGGGACACAAATGTCCTTAGCCAAAAAGATAATTGTTCCCATAATGACGAGAATAAACCATACTCACAATAGAAAAATTCAGAAGGTACTATTTTTTTTTAATAGAACAAAAAGTTTTAAATGACCCAGTCTTTTCCGAAGCTCTTCACCCCCTTTTACATTGAGAAAATACTCAGTAAAATAATTCTTTATCCTGGTATTTTAATTTAAAACTATAGCTGGAGCATGTTCCCATGTACAGTCACTTTTCAATTTTTGTATAATAATATTCCATTAAATGGAGATGGTGCAGTGGTCAAGAATCCGCCTGTCAGCGCAGGAGACGCAAGAGGCTCAGGTTCAGTCCCTGGGTTGGGAAGATGCCCTGGAGGAGGAAATGTCAGACCATTCCAGTATTCTTGCCTGAGATATTCATGGACAGAGGAGCCTGGTGGGTTCACAGTCCACAGGGTCACAAAGAGTTGGACGTGACTGGGCAATTGAGCAAGCACACAACCTTTCTATTCTTGTGCTTGAAGGTCACGCCTAATGTTTGCTATCGTGAATAACAGAGAAATGAATATAATCATGGATACACTTTACACAAAATATTTTGTTATTTCCATGGAACCACTGTTCACCAGCTATCTCTGAACCTCTCCCAGAAAAACAAATACCCAAAGGAATAGAATGGGGCATCCCATAGAACAGTTCTGCTAAGCTTCTTGTTAACCACTGGATCATATCATTGGTCCAGATGTTCATAACACATACATCAAAGAATCACACACTTGCCAGTTGAGCTACCACCAGAAGTGATTTCAAGCCCCAGGCAGTCATAGGAGATGGTATTGATGAGCTAAAACAGGGAAACAGTTTTGTCTCATGAGTTACTGAATCTAGAAGAGTCCCTATAATAAAAGTCTTCCAGACAAGCTGGTGGGAAGAAAAGGAGACACAGAGAGAAAAAGGCTGAGCTCTGTCATTACCAGCTCTGTTACTTTGTCTCCCCTGAGTCTCACTTACCCACTTATAAAATAAAAACCATAATGGTATCTTCCTTTTGGGCTGAGAGTGAACTGACAAAGTGCAGGAAACTTCCAACACTGAGAACTATTACTGTTTATCCCCATCATCATTATTACTATTATCCTTAATAGCTAATGGACCACTCAATGAGTGGTATATGTTAGCATGAGAATCCAATGGAAAACTATCAATAAAAAAAAGTTCACAATCCAGTTTTGAGAGTAGATAGAGACCCCAGACACTTACCATATATGGGCACACCTGAGAACCTGGTCCAAAAATCAATTCACATTGTTTATTCACGTTGTAGAGGAGGCCTGGCAGTTGATGAGGCAAAGGATAGGGTCTATATTCAGGTTCGTTAAGCAAACATTCGCCGTAACCAGTGCTGTGGGAAGCAGAAAAATACAGGTGGTAAGGGCAGTGGATAAGATGTGACTGTCAAAGTCTCCAAAAGACAGTGAATGTCATTCTGTCATTTTAATGGTAGCAAAGGTTGTTCTTTTGTTTTTGTTCTATTCTTTTCATCCAAATTTGAGTCCAGAAGCTGAAGTTCTACTTTTTGGTGTATACTTGTTTGTGGAACCACTGGCTACACATACAACATGCATGTATGAATGCATGCTCAGTCACTTCAGTTGTGTCCGATTCTGTGACCCCATGGACTGTAGTTCCCCAGGCTCGTCAGTCCATGAGACTCTCCAGGCAAGAATACTGGAGTAAGTTGCCATTTCCCTCTCCATGTATACAACCAGGGGGAAATGTATACCTGCTTCAGCCTTTATCACATTTCAGGGCAATTACACTGAAATGTTTATTTTTTGTCATCTTTTCCAATAGAGTATAAGCTTCTTAGGGGTAAAAAGCTTGTTTTGGGTGAAAAAAGTTTGTTTTTCACCCAAATATGGGATCCTGTCCATAGCAATCAGTGTTTAGTAAATATTTGCTGATTGAATGGGTAAGTGAATCAATGACTACAGTCAGAAACGCTTTAGATCATCTGGTTAAAAAAAAAAACCAAAAACCCCAGCAACCTGCCAGTTCTTCCATGTTTCTGCAAACACATCTTCTGGAAAATTCACACCCGGTGAGTTCTGATTAACAAGCCCCCTCTTCCCTGTGGTTGGGGAAATATACACCCAGTGACCTTGGGATAATCACTTAACCTTCTGTACATCTGGGAGAGAAGAGCAATAAATCTGTGACACAAGAATATTGTATAAAGTAATTGGATCCTTGAGCATCCTGGTGGGAAACTTTAAAAGCAAAAAAGAAGGAGAAAGAGGGAAGGAGATAAAGAGAGACAGAGAGAGGATGTTTTAAATTCAACAACATGGAGGTCTGTGCAATTTTCATGCGTCCTGTAATGTTCTTTGGGGATGTCTCACTTCCCTATCTGTTTCCAACCCCAAATTACTAACTTAGAAGCGCATAAATATTTGCCTTCCTTCATCATGCTATCACAGTCACGGTCTCTTCCCCAAGGCCTGAACAGTTGTTATAGCTTCACCAGAATGAAGCGACATTTACATGTTCTCTTGAAGACCTCGACATTTCCTTGGGCTCAGTCTACAATCTCCGGGCGCTGGCGCGGGCAGGAACTACACAGATGTCAGAGAGTGTTCCTCTTTCCCCTCCTCCCAGGACTGCCAACAAAAGTAACAACTCAGAAGGAACGCTTGACTCTACGTTTTCTTTCCCACAGTGAGTTCACTGCATGTAGGCCAGACACTAGCATGAAGGCTGTACTCAAAGTTCGAGTCTTACTCTAAAAATTCAGTGATATATTTTCGACTGCACTTTGACCACATCCAGGGGTTGGTGTTGAAGTTCAATGTTGGGGCCATGACGTGCTGGGGGCTCTTGATTCCTTCTTCTTTGCACTTATTATTGTCATCATGAGGCATGTTGAACCTAAGGCCGAGAAGACAATGATAAAAAAAAGTCAATAAATAATAAGGGACTGAGCTGTTATAACTGCTCTGAGAACACAGCTAAGAGAAAAAATTTAACAGACTACTGCATTATGGATAAGAATCTGAATCCTGGTGAGCAGAACAAAACTTACTAGAGGATTAAAGGTAGAGAGTAGAATAAAACATACTTCTGACTCAACTGAATGTAAAGTAACTTTAATGTAAAAAAAAAAAAAAAAAAAGAAAAAGATGTGAACTGGGCCATTATTTGGCTTAGTTGTATTTTGTGGAGTTGCAGAGGCTCTGCATATGCTGTAGCTGGTGCTAGAATACAGTAGTTGGAATTCCTAACAAGCTGTTAAAGGCCAATTTATAGAGTCAAGAATTTGGCAGGTTATGATAACACTGTTCACATAAAGAGTCACTCAAGTGTCAAAACCTGAAGCCGAAAGCTTTCTAATGAGAGGCTCACGGTGGGTCTTGGCATCTCCTCCTTTTTGGGTCAGGCTGACAGATGCTAAAACCATGTAAGTATACTGTTATAGAGCTATACAAAGTTCGTGCACAATAAAACCCATTAAGGAAAGCTGCAAGCACAGAAACCAGAGGCGTGCCAATTCAGTTGGCCTAACTTAGAGGTGGCAAATAGTTTCAAGCTTCACGCCAATGACAACTGATTGGTACTGGCTTCCTGAAAATCTGGGCACAAAAGAATTCTTAAACTAATCCAGGTTCCACCCCAAAAAACGGTTATGATGGAGTGCCAACGTCCTCTTGGGTCTGGGAGGGAACTCAGCAGCAGCATTAACACATATTTGCCATTCTTGGCTTAGAGAAAGGAAGTGGGGAAAAAAAATGACAGGAAGCATTTCTCAATCCAGAAACATCAGTTCTATGACCCACATGCCTTTCTCAGTAAGATAATTATCCACTGGGCAACAACCTCACAAGGGCTCTCCTCTTTGGATGACTATTCCTAATCACAAAACCAATGGATCTGACTAACTTGGCATTTAGAGAGAAATTCCCCTTACTAGTTCCTCATTCAACAAGAAGGTCAGACAGAAGTAAATTGACTTGCTTTATATAAAAGTAAAAGCTGGAATAAAAGTCTGTGAGGTCCATCCCAGTAATTTCTCATATTTTATTTCCTTTTTCTCTTAAAACCCTAGGCCCCTCAATAATTGCCAGATGGGAAAACTCCAACTCTCTTGGTTGGACTTAATAGTAACAGATGCTTAAGAGTCTATTTTCTTAAAGGAATGACTGCCCAGGATTCTAAAACCCAGATGCAGATTCAGTGTAACACCTCCATCAACAAATCTAACACAAGAAAAGCTTTCAAACCGTGTTTGTTTCTCTCTGGTGCAAAGGAGCTCGTTTATTCCCCACGCCACCATGACTTGATAAAATCCAGTTTATTTCATCAGGTAAACAGAAAACTTATTTTTTTTTTCATTCAAATGTCAAGCACGTTTGTTCATAGCAGGGGTTGTATAACAACCATTCATCGAGCACTTACTAAAAAATAATTACCAAGACTTTTTTAGCATTCACAATGCACTAGCCAGTGTGTTAAATGCATTTGATGTTTTATTTAACTTAACTACTTATTTGACCCAATGAATAGTGTGCTATTACTATTCACATTTTACAGAAGAGGAAATTAGGAATTAGGAGGTTTAACTATTTGATCAAGGTCACATGGTTATTAAGTGAGCTAGAACTGGAATTTACTTCAGTCTAATATCTCCTGTTTTGGAATATATACAAACTACATTCTCTCCTATGAGGCAAGATGTGGACAATTTTTCAGGAACACTGTGTAAGGATTTCTGTGTTCAGTAGAGACTCAATTACTTCCCCACTTCTTCCTGACTCTTAGATTCTGAGTGTCTATGAAGCTGGTACAAGGAGGCAGGAGCTATTTTTGAAGCATCCAATGATGCTCAACAAATAGAAGGTTGGTTGCTTTTTCCTCTGAGCAGCTCTTGGATTTTATTTTATCAGAAAGTCATGCTCATAACAACTTAACATTTAATTTTGAAAAAGTTAATTAGAAAAATTTGTTAGAGAATATGATAGGAAATTAAAAAAAAAAGATTTCCACTTTTCTTAACATAAGAACAAAGTTAACTCGAGGAAACAAAGTGCCAAAACAAAAATAATTCATTAACAGGCTAGGAATACACTTTCTGTTTAAGCTACAACTCACGTCATTCACCAATTACTTGATTTCTTACTTCCTGACACTTTTGAGGTAAGATGTATATGTATTGTTTCCATCTTACAGGAAGGGAAATAGCATATATTTTCCTCAAGTCAAAGGGAATGTTGTAACAATTCAGTCCAGATCTTGGCTATCTGGCTACCTGCTGACTTCTACCCTAGAACTGGTGCTCCAACATCATATGCTCCTATGCCAGCATTAGCTACCACGATTTGGCTGGCTACTACAATTTGGTTAACTTAATATCTCTAAGTCAAATACACAGACTTAATAATATCTACCTTGTGGGGATTATAAAGATTAAAGGAGATAATATAAATGAAAGCTCCTGGAAACATGTCAACAGCATAGTATTTACAGGGGGAGTTGTCCGTTAACTGCGAATTAAGACTTCTATATGGCATAAATATTTTGTTGTTGCTATTTAAAATTCTTATGTTCCTTCAAATGTCAATTTTATAAACTGGCTGTCTAAAAGAGGTTTATAAACTCTTTTGGGGAAAGGAATTAATAGGAAATTAATTATATTTCTTTACACAGTATATTTTTGTTAGCCCTATTTTGGGAGGAAATGTTAATCTGTTAATCAAATACACCCTTGCCCTTGGAATACATTCTTATCTCTGTAACTCTCCCTGTTCCAGGTTCTGGGGCAGGAATAGTTGTCCCATTGAAACGTCACCCTATTCCTCACTATGAAATCTACATCTTTTATTTAAAGGTCTAAAGTAATTTACTAGGTTTCATGTAAAACAAATAAATGAAAAATCCTCCAAAGATTGTTAAAATAAGTATGGGGGAACTGAGTTAAAAACAATACCCGAACTAAAATCAATACAGGACTTGTCAGAACCTTTACTTCATGGCATTTGGCCTTGGCACTCCAAACATGGCTAGGAAAAAAATTTTAAATCACTGGATTACAACACTCTTATTTCGTCCCATGGCCCGTTCTCTTGGAATCAGTGTAAGAGTACCAAACTTTGGGAAATGCTGGTAGAACCAGTAATTTTCAAATCTAGTTCCAAGAAATCCTTGAGTTTCAGGAAGGTATTTGAGAAATCAAGGGACAGAGAGACAGTTGACTAAGAAGGACTCTGATCCATCACAAAGGCTTAATTGAAAGTCATGCCTTTTTTATTCTGTAAATATTGAGCACCTGATGATATTTCCTTGGAGAATAAAAGGAGTGCGCTCTTCAAATATGCTTGAAAATACATTCATCATATGTGGAATTGGGATAAGAGATTGTGGAGCTGGGATTAGAGATTCCTCTACATATGCATATTGCATTACACCTACCATAGTACACTGCATATAAAGTGCCTTCAAAAAACATTTGGCAAATGAAAGAGTTAGCTTAATAGATGATGTTATCTCTAAAGTAAACATCTGACATGCAGATCGATACACAGCTACTTTTGAAAATTATTTCAAAAAGGTATAACATAAGTAATTTAATCACTGCAGAAAGAAAAGATGGCAGATAAAAAACTGGAATAATTTTGAGTAAATTTATACTGTTTTGCTCCACATTCTAACAAGGCTTTGTCGCTAAAGAACAAAAATGAACAGCCAATTTCACAATGACCAGACACTTAATGATCATAAATAAGAAATGGTTTCTTTCTTCTCTATATCTTTGTTCATTCTTTCCCCTGAAAGAGGGTCACTTCTGTTCTCAGAGGCTAGTATCTGAAGGACAAACTTGTATAACCAGAATTAGGAATGATCTGGGTTTGGGAAAATTGTGCAGGCCACAGCAATGTTGGAGGACCGTAATAAACAAAGATATTATGTCAGATAAATTTTCTGGGCTGATATACTCTCTGCTTCAGTGGAAGGGGTAGAAAGACCTCCTTTCTTCCACTTTGAAGTAGGAAAGGAGCATACTAGACCTTGCCTGGTAAACCTGTTCAGCTAAGCCAAAGAGACACATGAGCTAAGGTTGAACAGGGTGCACTGCATTTACTCAGCTTTCTGAAGTCAAAGTCATTTCTCCCAACAAGGTTCAAAGCTTTTCAACCCTGAAAACTCAACTATGCCTCGAGAAGTGTCTTACACCTTTTAAAGTCCAGTGAATGCTCACTGATGCAGAGGAACAAAAGTTTTAGGTCACTCCAGATTAAATGAAAATATGGAAAAGAAACATACACATGGCCCAGTTCATGGGCTATTGTAAAAGCTGTACTCAATCCGCTATCTTCACTGATAGAGCAGCTTCTGTATGGATCACAAATGGTTCCCAGTTCAGCCAGACCTATTAGAAAGGAAAACAAACAAACAAACAAGGATTTACTTTAAAAAGCATTTGTGGCTTGGAAGAAAAGCACGTCATAAAGTGTGGAAGCCAGAGAGGATACGCACAGTGGACTCACCTAATGTATCACATTTGTCATGAGCTCTGCAGATATCCTGTCTGAAAGCAAAGCAGATTTGCTTTAGGGGCTTGACACCCAACAGTAAACATCAATACAAGCAAACACTTCAGCCTTTCAGGTATTCACACCACCACTATTTTAGGGATGGGGAGGGATGAAAAAAACCTAGTTAACAGAGCCAAGGGTTTGCAACTCAAAAAATTTATGAATCACTGGCTTACAGATTAAAAACTACATTGAGCCATCTCCTGTCAACCAGGGTGGCCAAGGGCAAATGAAAATCTTTACATCCAGGATTTTCCTCATACCTTGAAACAAGTGATTCTACTTTCTGAAAAAACATTCTGAGAAGGCTCTAACTGCCTTTCACTTAAGTTTAGTTAAGAATTTGTAGCCATATCAAAGACGGCTGATGGAAGACACGACTAGGCCAGCATACTTTGCACTGCCTGAGCCACCAGGGAAGCCCAGGCCAGCAGACTTCTTTGTTGCCCTGCACAGCGTTTTAAACATTCTCAACTAGAAGCTGCCATTTAAAAACTAGGAGCTTTCACATAAAAAAAAAAAAAATCCTCATTTATGGCTTCTTACAGAATCACTAAAGCGGGCAAGACTGTATGTATATCCTGCACAGTCTGAATGGCAGCTGCTCCCTCTACAAGGGTGTTTACTTTCAGGACTGTCTAACATACTTATTGCCTACCTGGTAACTATGGATTAGTGGTTCTCAACCAGCTGTGATTCTGTCCTCTCCCCCATGTACCCTCAGAGAGCATCTGACAACATCTGGACAATACTGTGGCTGTCACAGTCAGGAGTAGGGAGAGCTGCCAGTATACAACAGGTAGAGACAAAGGATGCTGCCAATCATCCTGCAGGGCACAGGGCAGTCCCCACAACACAAACTATCTGATCCAAAATGCCAACAATGCTAAAGTTGAAAAACTCTGGACTAGGGGCTGGCTATCAGCAATATACAACCTTATCCCATCAACTTGACCAGAAACTAAAAGACTGGAAGGATAAGACGTCCATATACCTCGTTACAAGAACCGCTGTATCATGCTGGATTCCACCTGGATGGTTCTTTGAATGCTGCCACTGGCAAAAGTTTTTTAATGTTGTCTGAGCATTAAAAGATATGGAAGGTCCTTCCTAAATACAGACAAGAATTACGGTTGATCCACTGTAACAACACCAATTAGATATGCCATTTAGGACACAGAGAGAAGAAAAAAGAAATAAAACTTTATTACCTGTTCATTATGAATCACAACTAAATTCACAATAACAATGTTAATTAAATTTCCAATACTTGGGTCTTTATAGATAGAGGCTACCTGCAACCAAGATAAATTTTTCAAAGTTAATTGTGAATTCTTTGTAAGCAATAAGCAAATCACTTCTTATGCTGGTCTCCACGGCTTTTTATGTTTGATAAACATATGCATTTTGGAGTTCTGAATTTTCATTCAGTCAACAAATACTTCTTAAAAGTCTCTTTGTAAAATGCATAGATGACAGTTTCAGAGAGTGATAAACACAAACAAGTTTAAATTTCAAGGTGTTTTCCAAGGAAACCACACTGCCATGTAACTTAGCAGTTCTCAGTGCCAAAACACTGGATAATAATTTTTGATCAAGTTGAAGCTGGACTGCCATTTATACAATCTCACATGGACAACAAGCTTGCTAATACTGCTGGTGTACCAAACATTTATATTCTCCATAATCTGGTAACTTTTTTTCTCTCCATTAATACCGTTAATTCTGAGAGCTATACCCACTGAATGCTTGCTGTAGCCTAGATCCTTGCTAAAAACAGCATATGCCTTTGTATTTAGTCCCCATAGCAACACTCAAACTAGGTATGTCCATAATCTTTGCTCAGCAAATGAGAAAAATGAGGCTCAGAGAAGTTAAGCGACTTGTCCAAGACTAAACAGAGAGTGGTAAACAGCAGAGCTGGAATTCTCAAGCAAGATCAATTTGACCTTAAGTCCATGCTTGTCATTAAAATTCTTGACAGATCTGAATTTATGGGGCAGAAATGGAGTTGAGTCTGTAAAAGGCATGACTAGGTTTTTCTTTCCCTCCACCAGAATAGGAGAGGGCTGGGGCAAATGGGACTGAACTTGAGGAAGGGGGTGAGGGAGAGTTGGGGGAAGAGGCAAGTGGGTAGGGGGATGAGGAACATAGCGGAGTGATTCACAGCACAGGTGAAATCACAGGGGACGCACTAGGAGAACACAAGGCCGTGGAGAGGAAAGAGGAGACACTAAACGGATATTCCCAAAGGGCAGCTGTTCATATGCATTTGGGGAAGGTAATACAAGTAGATTTCCATTCAAATAAACTAGGGTCAATCTATTAATAGGAATGCTAGCCTGAGGCTTAAAATGAATGAAGGCAGAGCATAGGAACTATTATGGGACAATCTCCAATATTTCAAGAAAACAGGAATATGTAAAACCATATTACATATGCTCTATCTCTGAAAAAAATACACCCATACATGTTTGCTTAAGAAGTGTCCAGAGCTGCACTGTCCAACATGGTGGCCACTTGCCAAGTGGTCACTGAACAACTGAAATGTGGCTTGTCTGAACTGAGATGTGCTCTGAGTGTGCAGGCCATACTGGGCTTTATAGTCTTAATATGGAGAAAAACTCATCTCATTAATATTTTTGAAATAACATTGAGATATAAAACAAAATACACGATTAAAATTAATTTTGCCTGTTTCTTTTGTGTGTGTGTGGCTAACAAAATTTTAAATTACATTCACCTATATTTTTAAACATGGCTTGCATCATGTTTCTATTGGGCAGTGCTGGTTAGAAACATGGGCAAATAAACTTGCCACACAGGTGGCCTCTGGGAGACTGGGTAGGGGAAAGCACTTAGGCTTTTCCCCTAGTCTTTGGATCTGCTTGATCTGTTTTTCTGTCATGCAAATTTATTACTTTTTCAATTCAAAATGGGAGCAGAAAAACTCAAAATTTAAGTGAGAGATTCCTAAGCCTCACCCCAAAATTACTTAATTAAAAATCCTGGGGGCAGGGGATAGAGACATTTTACAAAGCTCCAGCAGTGACTCTGATTCACAACCAGCGCCCAAATGTCTTGCTGGTGACCCACACCTGGCTGTGCCCATTCACACGTCAAAGGGCACTGATCTGGAGAGGTGGGCAGGCTGAAGATCACATGCAGTCTCTCAGCTACTTTACTGGCTTTACACGGTCATGGACAAGCAACCCAACTCCTGTGAGGTTCAGTTTTCTTATCAACCAAATAGGAACGACAATCTACCTAGCGGAGTTGCCAGGAGGATTAGAAATGATGCCTTTTAAGTAAAAAGTACACTGTCTAATGCAGAATAAACACTCACTATTTATACTCATTATTGTCACTGTCAAGAGCAGCCAATGAATAATCTTATGTTCTCTTCAGTCACTTGCCTGAATCAGTGAAATGACAGACCTGAATGATCCTCCAAAGCACTGGGTAGAAACCCATTCCCAAAGGCACATTTAGAAACATAAATCACCTACTTTTGAATATACTTACAATTGACATTAAAGTTAAAATATAATGTTGAAGGTTTGATCCATGGTATAAAACCATTCTGTTGTCTGCTACCACCATCACTTCTACAAACCGTGGATAGGATAAAAAACGTTTTGTTCTTCTGTGGGTCCCCTTCTCCCTTGTGCTGTCTGTTTTGCTACCATTGGCAGGAAGCGTGCTTGTGGTTAAGCTGCTACTTAACACAGCCATGTCATCAGCCAGGCTACTCCTCCCTCTCCATTTTCTTGTCCTCGTTTTCCTCTTGTCCTTACTGTGACTATTTCTATGTTCTGTAACAAATCAGATGGCATGCATTATATTTCGAGCCACATATATTTCATACTAAGAATTTAATTTGACAGGTCTTAAAATGATGTCTCTGTAGTCAAATTACATACAAAAATCAAATTGTGCATGCTATGGACTCTCCAGGTAAAACTCAATCTGTGCTCTCATTTAAATGACTAAAGACTTGAAATCAGCCTTCCTGTAAGCTTCTGTGTGTGTCTTAATCGCTCAGTCATGTCCGACTCTTTGCGACTCCATGGACTGTAGCCCACCAGGCTCCTTTGTCCATGGGATTCTCCAGGCAAGAATACTGGAGTGGACTGCCAATGGATTGCTAGCTTCTCCAAGGAAACTTCCATAAATGCTCACTTAAATTATTAGAAAAGCAGGCCTGAGTTTCGGGGAAACAATTGCTTACTCTCTTCATTTAGTAACAAAAGCCTGACTGGGGTTTAAGTGGTTTGTATTCATTGTTCTTTGTTATTCATAGAGTAAGGGCCAACAAGGCAGCTAGAGAGCTCTAGAGAATGGAAATGGAGATGTTTCATGTACACCACTTTTCATATTCAATGAGATACAGTGTAAAGGGGCCTGAGCACTGCGCAAGGTAATAGACAGTACAAAGAACTATGAAAATGCATAACAGGGTTTATTCTATTACCATATTCAACCACTGTAATACATGAAATATAAGAATAGAATCACTGCTGTTCAATGCCTACAAAGTTTTAATTATTACAGGGCTCAGTTAAGGAAGTAGATTATACTCAGAGAGTATGAATAGGCATTTGAGACTGTGATATGTAGTACCAGATGGGCTCTCCTCATTTCTGATTCTAGCCTAGGTACCACTTGGATTCTACACAATCTTGCAGCTCAAAGTGTGGTCCATGGACCAGCAACATCTGCAACCCCTGGAAGCTTGTTAGAAATATAAACTCTCAGGCCCTGCTCTAGACCTGATAAATCAAAATCCACATTTTAACAAGATCTCTAAGCGATTCATATTCATGTTACAGTTTTGACAAGTACTAGTTCTGAACCTGGTTTGAGGCTTGTGTTGCTGGTGAAAATACTCAGTCATCAACCACACAATAAACAAAATAAGCATAAAAGTGCCTGCTAAAATATGCTTTCAGTAAAAGCAGAACTTAATCAGTTATCTTGCCAATCAAATCATAAATGTGTTTCAAAGCTTTAATGCCACTAATCTGTAGTCCAAATAGGCAACAGAATTGCACAACTAAGAAATATGCTTTCCTAAAACACAATTAATAGAATTTATTACGCCAGTAATAATAAGTTAAAGTTTTAGTCCTTTCATATTTGAGGGGCTCAAATATTTAACCATTATAAGCTATTCCTAAAACAATCAATTAGGCCAGCATGTGTATTTTGCCTAAGTAGAGTGTTTTAGTGGCTGTTAAAACAGCGATATCAGTCCAAACTGTCAAACAAGTTATATATGGTATAGCTATAGGTAATGTGACCAGCCCTAAGCCTGGTACATAGTAGGATTCGACATTAGACTACTTTTCTTCCAGTCTCTCTCTCAAGAATATTCACATATGTATGTGTGTGTGCTCAGTTGCTTAGATGTGTCCAGTTCTTTTTGACCCCATGGACTGTAGCCCGCCAGACTCCTCTGTCCATGGAATTCTCCAGGCAAAAATACTGGAGTGAGTTGCCATTTCCTCCTCCAGGGGATTTTCCCCAACCCAGGGATTGAATCTGCATCTCATTTGTCTCCTACATCAGCAGGTAGATTCCTGTACCACTGAGCCACCTGGGAAGTCCCATTCATATATGTATATCCATGCCATATAGGTACTTAGGCTGTCATTCCAATTTTAATTCACCAGTGATTATAAATAAATATTAATCAAGCACCTACTACCTGCCAGATATTGAACTAGGCCCTTTGACATGTTATCTTGTAATTCTCAGACAGAGAAAATTACGTCTACTGTACAGATGAGAAAAGTAAGTCTCAGAGAGATTAAGCAACTTGTCCAATGTCACATATAGGGTGTGGTGGTACCAGGAATCAGGCATGGATTTGATCAACACCCTAAACAGTGCTCTTTCTATCACATAACACTACTTAAGAGTTAGGAACTGAAATAGGCTCATGATTTTGTTGCGTTTCTAAACTGAGCCCATACTGGAAAACAGTATCTGGTGCACATTTTCACAAACACTAGCTTTATATAACAGGTGTATGGAAGCCACATTGAAAACTGGATGTTAGTTTGTACTGTATTTCAGATTCCTCTTCTCTGTCAAGTATCTTAAACTGGAAGGTTACATTTTTGATTTCTTTCTTTCTTAATGTGTGTGTGTGCTGGTCATTCAGTCATGTCTGACTCTTTTCGACCCCATGGACTGTAGCGCACCAGGCGCCTCTGTCCATGGCATTCTCCAGGCAAGGATACAGGAGTAAATTGCCATGCCCTTCTCCAGGGGATCTTCCCGACCCAGGGATCGAACCCAGGTCTCCCATATTGCAGGTGGATTCTTTACTGTTTGAGGCATTAAAACATAGCTATAAATGTTCTTCCAAGTCATGCTTTAGCTGCATCCCATACATTTTGATATGTTGTGTCTTCATTGTCATTTATCTCAAAGTACTTTCCAACTTCTTTGATTATTCAGGAGTGTGCTATTTACTTTCCAAATATATTTGAGTTTCCCATTTTTTCTGTTATTGATTTCCAGTTTCATTTTACTTTAGTCAGAGAAGATACTCTGCATTACTTCTATGATTTTAAATTTATTGATACGTTTTATAGCTTTGCATATGGTTTAGTCTGGAGAATGTTCTATGTGTACTTCAGAATAATGTGTGCTCTGAAGTAGAGTGTTCTACACACATCTGTTAGGTATATAGTTGGTTTACAGTGTTGTTCAAGTTTTCTATTTATTCGTTAATCTTCTGCTTAGCTAGTCTATCTACTACTGAAAGTAGTATTGAAGTTTCCAACTATTACTGTTGAATCTTTTATTTATCTCTTCATTTCTGTCAGTTTTTGCCTCGCACATTTTGGTGCTCTGATATGAGATGCATATTTGTTTATAACTGCTAAATATTTCTAATGAATGGACTCTTTCACCACTATAAAACAATTTGATAAACCTTCTTATATCAGTAAAGTGAAGTAAGCCTGTCACAAAAGCCAATAAATTATATGATTCCAGTCATATGAAATTTTCAGAATAGGCAACTCTCTAAAGACAAAAGTAGCTCAGTTGCTAAATGCTGGAGGCAGGGTGAGGACCCTGGCTAGGGAGCTGATAGCTAATGGGCACAGGGTTTCTTTTTCAAGTAATAAAAACGTTCTGTTATTGACTGTGATGGTGGGTGCACATAACTGTGAGCACACTGAAAATCATGGGACACTTTAAATGGATGCATAGTATGGTATGTGGATTATATCTCAATAAAGCTGTGAAGAAAAGAAAATATATTACTTAGTTTGTGAAGAGCAAATAATCTTTACTGTCTTCCATAAATACTTTGACTTAAAAGATTTATTTAGAGAGAAGTATAATTGCAGCAAGAAAAATACTGAGGAAATACTATATAGAATTCACTCTTTCGACCACATAGAAGAATCACCTCTAAGAGAATCATCAGGGGGTACTTGGGCATGGGAAAACCTGAGAATAAATCAGGCATTAATTGTAAAAAAAGTACACTTAAGTAGCAAAGTTGAAAAAATTAAGACATTAATCACTAAAAGGGATTTCTAACAAAGAACAGAAATAATGGAGAATAACTCATGCAAATCCTAATACACCTAGAAGACGTTTCATTCACAACTAATCTTTGTATCAAAGAAACAATTTAGTATGCTATATATGGTATAAAAATCCAGGAATAAAATTATGTCTTCAGAATCAAAGACAACACTTTCTATTACATACTTTCCCAGTCTTTTACCTATCTGACCTTTTATCTTAATGAGTTAAAATATTTATTGACCTAATTAGCCCAACTAATTTCTACCACATTAACCATTTTAGCAGGCAGTTTTGAATTTGGCTTTACAAAGAGTAGGAGCTTTAAAGATTCAAACATTCACTATGACTACAAATGCAAGAACATTTTTACTGAGAATGGAAAAACCAGACACTTTAACTGCTATATCTGCTCAACTCTCTTGCCTCTGAATAGAAACTGTTAATATCAGAGAACGATTTTCACCAAGGGACACACACTGCTAGGATAAAAAGAAAGTCATTCACATTTCTCTTTAGTGACCTGATAGCATAATGGAATAAGTTTAGTATTTCAAATTTGCAATGTCACTTTGCTAACAGTTTTATCAGAATGAGCTACATAATGAAATTTCACCCTGGTAGAAAGCACGGTATAAATGATCAGTGTATTTTTGCTCTTCATTTCACCCACATAAAGTTTTACATTTATTATCACTTTTTAATAAGATATAATTTTATATTATAAAATTCATATTTTCAAAGTATACAGTTCAATGTTTTTTGGAATATTTATAGAGCTGTGTAATCATTTCTATTACCTAATTTTAGAATACTTGTATTGCCAAAAGAAGAGACACTGTACCCATCAAGTTATCACTCCTCATTCTTCCTCTTTCCCTCAGTCTTTGGCAATCATTAACCTATATTTCGTTATCTATGGATGTGCATTTAATACAAATGGAGTCATGTTCTTTATGTCTGGCTTCTTTCACTTAGCATAATGTTTTCAAGGTTCATCCATGCTGTAACTTTTATCAGCACTCTTATTACTTTTTGTTGCCATCTAGTATTCTACTATATAGATGTATCATCTTTTGTTCTTCATTCATTCATTAGTGGGCATTTGGGTTCTACAATTCAACTGAATAATGTTGCCTTAAATAAGCATGTACAATTTCTTTCTGTGACTACGATTGGACTTCTCTCTAGGGAGAATGACTGTTTTTTTTTAAAAAACAATCTTCTGGCTTAAAAATAATTCTAAAGACAAGCTGTTTGT